ATCACCCCACTTTTCCCCTGATGGGATCAAATATAACCCTGTACCCTTTCCCAGTCCTGGGGCACTGAGCCCCAAAGTTCACCCCCTATATGTAAAGTGTACTCATGCATGTCCCTGTGTCCTGTTAGTATCTCCCAGAGCGGGAGATGGTTATTTCTTCCCCATCCACCTCCTGTATGTGTTTTTGTGTTGTGCTGGATGGAGACCCCCATGCGGGGGTCTGTGCATAAAAAGCTGTGTGCCCACCCAATAAACATTGTCAAATGTTGTATTCTGGAACTGTGTCCCATCCTGACCTACTCTAACCAAAGGGGATAACCAGCCTGGTTACCCAGGTCCCGCTACAGCGTGTATGTAGTGAATGCATAGTGTTTGTAGTGAATGTATTTTGTGTATGTATTGTGTGTGTGTGTGTATGTAGTGAATTTAGGGTCTGTATGTAGGTAATCCAGAGTGTGTGTAGAGAATGCCTAGTTTGTTTAATATAGTGAGTGTGTATGTAGTGAATGTATTTTGTGCATGTGTGTATATAGTGTATGTATTTTGTTTGTGTCTGTGTATATGTAGTGAATGCGTAGTATGTATAGTGACTGTAGGGTCTGTATTTAGTGAATCCAGAGAGAGTGTGTAGTAAATGCCTAGTTTGTATATTTAATATAGTGAGTGTAGTGAATGTATTTTGTGTGAATGTATTGTGTGTCGGTGTGTGTCTGTTTTATATGTAGTGAATGCTTAGTATATATAGTGAATGTAGGGTCTGTATGTGGTGAATCCAGAGTATGTGTAGTGAATGCCTAGTTTGTATATTTAATATATTGTGTGTGTGTGTATATATGTATGTAGTGAGTTTATAGTGAATGTAGTTTGTATGTGTGTTTGTGTAGTGAATTTAGTATGTGTGTGTATAGTAAGTGAATGCATAGTATGTGTAGCGAATGCATATTTTGTATAATGAATGTAGTGTGTGTGTAGTGAATTTATTTGTAGTGGAGCTGCAAGGCTAAGACCGAATATCTCTGCTGGAATCCTCTGGTGCTGTAAGGGAAGTGCTGTTTAGTGAATATAGCCCATTCTCCCGTGTGCGGGCTGATAGTTGTGTAGGCAGGCCCGTTGGGGGAAAAAAAATAGTTGAGGGCAGCTGCTTTGGGCCCCCTAAGAATAACTGGGGCTGGGGCTGCTCAGTTTGCCCCACGTTAAAGACTGCACTGCTTGCCTGTATGAACACAGAATAACGCTCCCCCTGTTAGTGAATGCTTCCCCCAGTCTGTAGATCCTATTTCCCGAATATGGTTCGTCTAGTTTGTCGTGAAAGTATACAGGCAGCGCAGCAGTACCATCTTGACTGGGGGTTCACAGGAACTTGTAGCCGCACGCACGCAATAACCATGTACTGCTGCCTGTGAGACAAAATGGCTGCCATGTACTGGACTGCGTGCATTTGGTATGCAAACGTTGGCAACCCATGTAAAGCACTCAAGTTAATCTTTTAATTGTGGTTAAGAGCCAGGGGTGGTCATTGTTCTAAGTCAATGAAGAGGGGTAACACATAAGTTCTGTTTGGTTCCCTAACAGGGGAATACGGTTTTGTTTTAGAAAATGTAATGGATAATTGCTATATGTAAGTGCACTTTTGGAATGTTGGTCCTGGGACTCCCAGAGCAGTACTGGCCCCATGGCTGTCATGCCCTGATGGCAGCCCTGCAGACCACTTCAGCTCATTGAAGTGGTTTAAGAAACTTCAAAAACTACGCTCCCTGGTTAACTCCACATCTAGTGACTTTCTAGAAGACAGACACCAGAGGGACTTCTGTGCTGTTAGGTGACTTTTGGTCGCCTAACTGATGCTGGCTGTCCTAATGCTATGCATTGGGATGGGGATGTCCAGCCAGCATCACCCAAAACCCCCATAGTAAAGCTTTAAATAATGATTTCCTATGGTAAAATTCTAATGCGAGTGAGGCCATTTTTGTGCATGCACATTAGGTAGCTCTCCCGCTGGCTGATGTAGGCATGGGAAAAGTGAAAGCAGACCCATGGACATAGGTGCATGACCCAGGTAAGTTACAGAATGGGGGCCCTTGATGGAGTGGTAAGCTATATACAAATTTTGTATTCTTGGATACACATTCCTTTTTAAATATAAGTGGCCGGTCCATGAACTGCGTTCTATCCATAGAATTTTTTTTTTTACTTTTTAAAAAAAAAAAGTGTTTAGTTAGCCCCTGAGTTTACAATATAAAGTTCTCTTGGTTGGTCTCTAAAAGGTATTCCGTTAGTAATCCCCCCTTTTTTTTTTTTTTTTGCCGCGTGCGCTTCTTCAGTTTGGAGCCGAGTGAGTCAATAAACCCCTTTTGAGTAGATTTATAGAGTATAATTGAATCCAAAGTCATAGATTATGAACAATTCACAGTAACATTATACTCCTTTCTTTGATGACTATTGCAGCACATTGAATACTTTGCTGTACAAATATGCTTTAACCCTCTAACCCATTTCACATGCAAGAATAATTAACAATTTAACACTATGTTACATGCAAGCATAATTAAAGATATAACCAATACGACTGATAATAATGTATGTCAATTTTTTTGCTATCTTATCATATTATATCTTGTGGTAGGTAGATGATCCTCTCTAAGGTGGCAGTTCTAGTGTATCACCAAACAGTATTGCAAAACAGAGAAAAAGACAATCTCATGTAGGGATCGACTAGGACCACCACCATTGACTAAATGTGAGGATTGTATAGAAACATAGAATGTGACGGCAGATAAGAACCATTCGGCCCATCTAGTCTGCCCAATTTTCTAAATACTTTCATTAGTCCCTAGCCTTATCTTATAGATAGGATAGCCTTATGCCTATCCCACGCATGCTTAAACTCCTTTACTGTGTTAACCTCTACCATTTCAGCTGGAAGGCTATTCCATGCATCCACTACCCTCTCAGTAAAGTAATACTTCCTGATATTATTTTTAATCATTTTTAATGTATGGCAGTAAAAGATGAAAATTGAGTCATAAACCTGACAGAAACATCGAAGAGAAGAGGTGGCAATCAAGATGCATTTTTAAAACATATATTCAATGTTGATTTTAGAGGTTTTGGTCTTGACACTAGTTTTTATGTTTAAGGATCCCAGGTCACACTGTGCAGGCAGAGTAGTGTCTTACTTCTGATGGAATATTTTTGTGGCAATGACAACAATGACATTTTTGCCCAATATCAACATTCTTTATTTTTATGACTACTGTAATACTGGATGAACAACATATCCCCCTGGGCATCGTTTAGTAGATCTCCCCTGGGCATCGTTTAGTAGATCTTCCTTTTTTTCCCCCAAGTTATACTTTTTGTTTCCATATCCCTTTTTATTCTTAGGTTGATTAAAGGTAGGGCATCCCTTCCTCATTTCTTATATAGTGGAGCTCTCCTGATGTTGGTTTCACCTTGTGGGACACATCACCTACTCTTATTACATACATATTTTCTAGGGTTACCCCCTCATTGGAGCTCCCTATTAGGTTGTTAGAGTGGTGCAGCTCATGAGCCCTTGACTTGTATCTGGACTCTTGACCTGCATTCTGTTTACTTTATTTATCCATTTTGTGTTAATATAAAAATATACTTATTAAATTACACACGTGTGTGTGTGTGTGTGTGTGTGTATATATATAATAACAAAATATATTGTGTATATATGTAATAAAATACAATTAATAAGTAAATTAAATGTAAAAAATAACATTTTTAAAAACAATTATATCTATATGAAATTTTATTCTTACTGTATTTTGATATTAATATATATATTTATATCAAAATACACTTAGCTAAGTTAGCATTTTTTGCATTGTTAACACACAAGCAAATATGAACGCTAACTTTGGCCAGTATTGACTAAGTGGCTAGAAAAAGACTGGACATACCCCATATTGAATACCCTGGGTTGTCTACTTTAAAAAAAATATGTACATGTGGGGTGTTATTTAGAGATTTATGACAGATAATAGATTTACAATGTCACTAATGATAAATGTAAAAATGTATGTTTTGAAACTGCAATATCCTACTTTTACTTATAGCCCTATAACTTGCAAAAAAACATGTAAACACTAGGTATTTTTAAACTCAGGACAACATTTTGAATCTATTTAGCAGTGTTTTTCATTAGCTTTTGTAGAGGAGTATGAGATTGTTCAAGTAAAATTAAAAAATATATATATTTGTTTTCAATTTTTCATCATATTTTTTTACTTTATTAAATAAAATTACATGACATTATATAAATAATGGTATGTTAAAGCCCCTTTTGTCCTGAAAAAAACCAATATATGATGTATGAGAACAGTAAATGAGAGAGCGGAAAATAACAGCTAAACAAAAACACTACAAAAGTGTAAAAAGAAGCTTGGTCACAAATGTACAACAATCAAAACCAGTCCAATCCTTAAGGGGTTAAATTGTGGTAAACACATGTAAGTTTGTAAATGTGTCCTGTTTTGATTAATAAACACAAGAGAAGATTTTCAAATGTAGAATCCCAGAATTTTTTTTTTACAAATTAATGATATAATCTAGAATCATAGAACATTCAGCATAAACATCAATCATTTAACAAACTATAAAGAGAGATTGTTATGTAACATAATAAAAATTGATAAATAAAAAGGTTAGTAAGAAAATTGATCATTAGTAAAGAGAAAGTGAAAGAAAGAAAGAAGCTAGCCAAACTTTAAGTCAATAAGCAATTTTATTATTTTATTAAGTATTTTTAATGTAAGCAAAACTCTCCTGCTAAAGAAATTGTGTTTTAAATGCATATAAAGAATTAGTTTTAAAAGAACATTATGACAGTATAGTATGACGCCAAATAAATTTGCATAATTTTCACAAATCACAATATATATATGCATGACATAAAAAGAATAGATTTAGCAAGAAGTTAAAGAGAGAGAAAAGAAAGGAGTCAACTTTGCACACCATTAAAAATTGACATATTGGTTGGCCTTTTGGTTGACAATCCATTTAAATGTCTACATTCCATTTCATTAATATACATACTCATTCAGCATGACTTTTGCTAACGTCGTCGTCGTCGCCGCCGCCATATATTAAATGGATTTTTGGGACAGGGAGATGGAAGAAGAGCTTGCTCTGTCCACTCCACGCATTGACCTGGTATTGCAGTACCTCCAGGACCGGTGCACCTCTCTTATGCTGGTTACAAAAATAGAATTGAAAAAGAAAAAGCAAGCCTCTGGACTCTCACTTGGTGGGTGGCAAAGAAATGCAGGAAACCTGCAAACGAAGGCAAACGCGTTCTCCTTTCCTGCTTTCTTTCTCTGCCGTAAGTGCGATCTCTGCCTCCCCCTGTCTGCGGCATGCCTGAATGAAGCCCGGACCGACCGACCGAGCGACCAAAAGCATTCCTTGCAATTATGGACACTTGTAGCAATGTTTGGTAACTGTTATTTCATTTGGATAGCTTGTCCGATTTGTTATTATCTATCATGTGCTGTGTGTGCAACATTCAAGTCTGTTCACCTGATGCAATGTATTCATTGTTGTCCTGTAAATCTGTGTAATCACTTCATTGAATAAATAAATGTGCCAAGTATATCCATTGGGAAGCCAGAGTATTTCTATGCTGGCTGGCTGGCTGGCTGGCTGGCTGGCTGGCTGGCTGGCTGCATTATCAGTGTTGAAAAGTGGGCGGTATTATGCAAATCTGCTGCAGCCTGCAGCATGCTGGTCTTTGAAATTACAGCACTAATGTTTTGGAGGGAAATCGGAGCAGCATCCAAGTAACCAATTAAGGGTTTAATTAATTGAATCATTGAGTGAGTGAGCAAACCAGCAGGTGCTTAATTGCTTGCTCTATCTACCCTACTTGCAGCTGAAGAGGAACAGACCAGGTGATCCAGCAGCCTCGTTAGGCTCATCAGTGGTAGCAGCTGGAGAGGGAGAGGTGCAAGGTATGTCTGGAGGGGAGCATATAGAGGAATGGACAAGGTTAAGAAGGGGAGCTGTGTTTCCAGGGCTCAGAGGTTGTGTGCTCTGTGACTGACTGTGTCTCTGTTGCTATTTGTAGCCAGCTTACACCTAGATGAGGAAGAGGTGGGTGGCACTGTGCCCAAGGCTCACCGCAAGCTGAAGAAGCCCAGGCGAATGGCAGGTGAGTAGCTGGGCGCCCATTCCGGTTATCGCTTCTCGGCCTTTTGGCTAAGATCAAGTGTAGTATCTGTTCTTATCAGTTTAATATCTGATACGTCCCCTATCTGGGGACCATATATTAAATGGATTTTTGGGACAGGGAGATGGAAGAAGAGCTTGCTCTGTCCACTCCACGCATTGACCTGGTATTGCAGTACCTCCAGGACCGGTGCACCTCTCTTATGCTGGTTACAAAAATAGAATTGAAAAAGAAAAAGCAAGCCTCTGGACTCTCACTTGGTGGGTGGTAAAGAAATGCAGGAAACCTGCAAACGAAGGCAAACGCGTTCTCCTTTCCTGCTTTCTTTCTCTGCCGTAAGTGCGATCTCTGCCTCCCCCTGTCTGCGGCATGCCTGAATGAAGCCCGGACCGACCGACCGACCGACCGACCGACCGACCAAAAGCATTCCTTGCAATTATGGACACTTGTAGCAATGTTTGGTAACTGTTATTTCATTTGGATGGCTTGTCCGATTTGTTATTATCTATCATGTGCTGTGTGTGCAACATTCAAGTCTGTTCACCTGATGCAATGTATTCATTGTTGTCCTGTAAATCTGTGTAATCACTTCATTGAATAAATAAATGTGCCAAGTATATCCATTGGGAAGCCAGAGTATTTCTATGCTGGCTGGCTGGCTGGCTGGCTGGCTGGCTGGCTGGCTGGCTGGCTGGCTGCATTATCAGTGTTGAAAAGTGGGCGGTATTATGCAAATCTGCTGCGGCCTGCAGCATGCTGGTCTTTGAAATTACAGCACTAATGTTTTGGAGGGAAATCGGAGCAGCATCCAAGTAACCAATTAAGGGTTTAATTAATTGAATCATTGAGTGAGTGAGCAAACCAGCAGGTGCTTGTTGCTTGCTCTATCTACCCTACTTGCAGCTGAGAAGACAGACCAGGTGATCCAGCAGCTCGTTAAACTCATCGGTGGTAGCAGCTGGAGGGAGAGGTGCAAGGTATGTCTGGAGGGGAGCATATAGAGGAATGGACAAGGTTAAGAAGGGGAGCTGTGTTTCCAGAATGTCTCAGAGGTTGTGTGCTCTGTGACTGACTGTGTCTCTGTTGCTATTTGTAGCCAGCTTACACCTAGATGAGGGAAGGGTGGGTGGCACTGTACCCCAAGAGCTCACGCAAGCTGAAGCCTTGAGGCCGGGAATGGCAGGTGGTAGCTGAAAATTACATTCCGGTTATCGCTTCTCGGCCTTTTGGCTAAGATCAAGTGTAGTATCTGTTCTTATCAGTTTAATATCTGATACGTCCCCTATCTGGGACCATATATTAAATGGATTTTTGGGACAGGGAGATGGAAGAAGAGCTTGCTCTGTCCACTCCACGCATTGACCTGGTATTGCAGTACCTCCAGGACCGGTGCACCTCTCTTATGCTGGTTACAAAAATAGAATTGAAAAAGAAAAAGCAAGCCTCTGGACTCTCACTTGGTGGGTGGTAAAGAAATGCAGGAAACCTGCAAACGAAGGCAAACGCGTTCTCCTTTCCTGCTTTCTTTCTCTGCCGTAAGTGCGATCTCTGCCTCCCCTGTTCAAGTGTATGCCTGAATGAAGTCTCGGACCGACCGGATCGAAAGGTACCAAAAGCATTCCTTGCAATTATGGACACTTGTAGCAATGTTTGGTAACTGTTATTTCATTTGGATAGCTTGTCCGATTTGTTATTATCTATCATGTGCTGTGTGTGCAACATTCAAGTCTGTTCACCTGATGCAATGTATTCATTGTTGTCCTGTAAATCTGTGTAATCACTTCATTGAATAAATAAATGTGCTAAGTATATCCATTGGGAAGCCAGAGTATTTCTATGCTGGCTGGCTGGCTGGCTGGCTGGCTGGCTGGCTGGCTGGCTGGCTGCATTATCAGTGTTGAAAAGTGGGCGGTATTATGCAAATCTGCTGCAGCCTGCAGCATGCTGGTCTTTGAAATTACAGCACTAATGTTTTTGAGGGAAATCGGAGCAGCATCCAAGTAACCAATTAAGGGTTTAATTAATTGAATCATTGAGTGAGTGAGCAAACCAGCAGGTGCTTAATTGCTTGCTCTATCTACCCTACTTGCAGCCGAAGAGGAACAGACCAGGTGATCCAGCAGCCTCGTTAGGCTCATCAGTGGTAGCAGCTGGAGAGGGAGAGGTGCAAGGTATGTCTGGAGGGGAGCATATAGAGGAATGGACAAGGTTAAGAAGGGGAGCTGTGTTTCTAGGGCTCAGAGGTTGTGTGCTCTGTGACTGACTGTGTCTCTGTTGCTATTTGTAGCCAGCTTTACACCTAGATGAGGAAGAGGTGGTAGACTGTGCCCAAGGCTCACCGCGAAGCTGAAGAAGCTCCAGGCTTAATGGCAGGTGAGTAGCTGGGCTACCTATCTCGCTATCGCCGGCCTTTACAAGATCAAGTGTAGTATCTGTTCTTATCAGTTTAATATCTGATACGCCCCCTATCTGGGGACCATATAATATTAAATGGATTTTTGGGACAGGGGAGATGAAGAAGAGCTGTTTCCCCTGGTTCACCCACGCATTGACCTGGTATTGCAGTACCTCCAGGACCGGTGCACCTCTCTTATGCTGGTTACAAAAATAGAATTGAAAAAGAAAAAGCAAGCCTCTGGACTCACACTTGGTGGGTGGCAAAGAAATGCAGGAAACCTGCAAACGAAGGCAAACGCGTTCTCCTTTCCTGCTTTCTTTCTCTGCCGTAAGTGCGATCTCTGCCTCCCCCTGTCTGCGCATGCCTGAATGAAGCCCGGACCGAGCGACCAAAAGCATTCCTTGCAATTATGGACACTTGTAGCAATGTTTGGTAACTGTTATTTCATTTGGATAGCTTGTCCGATTTGTTATTATCTATCATGTGCTGTGTGTGCAACATTCAAGTCTGTTCACCTGATGCAATGTATTCATTGTTGTCCTGTAAATCTGTGTAATCACTTCATTGAATAAATAAATGTGCCAAGTATATTCATTGGGAAGCCAGAGTATTTCTATGCTGGCTGGCTGGCTGGCTGGCTGGCTGGCTGGCTGGCTGGCTGGCTGGCTGGCTGCATTATCAGTGTTGAAAAGTGGGCGGTATTATGTAAATCTGCTGCAGCCTGCAGCATGCTGGTCTTTGAAATTACAGCACTAATGTTTTGGAGGGAAATCGGAGCAGCATCCAAGTAACCAATTAAGGGTTTAATTAATTGAATCATTGAGTGAGTGAGCAAACCAGCAGGTGCTTAATTGCTTGCTCTATCTACCCTTCTTGCAGCTGAAGAGGAACAGACCAGGTGATCCAGCAGCCTCGTTAGGCTCATCAGTGGTAGCAGCTGGAGAGGGAGAGGTGCAAGGTATGTCTGGAGGGGAGCATATAGAGGAATGGACAAGGTTAAGAAGGGGAGCTGTGTTTCCAGGGCTCAGAGGTTGTGTGCTTTGTGACTGACTGTGTCTCTGTTGCTATTTGTAGCCAGCTTACACCTAGATGAGGAAGAGGTGGGTGGCACTGTGCCCAAGGCTCACCGCAAGCTGAAGAAGCCCAGGCGAATGGCAGGTGAGTAGCTGGGCGCCCATTCCGGTTATCGCTTCTCGGCCTTTTGGCTAAGATCAAGTTCATTCTTGTCTAGTCAGGAGGTCTCAGAGGATCGGCAACGCTAGCCCCTCGGCCTTCCAGGCTGTGTTCTCCCAGTGAGGGCACGGTCTGGATGCTGCTATTGGGGGGCGATCCGCGCTGACTCTGGGAACGGGAAGCGATCGACAATGGAGAGAGGTGGCCCCTCGTATCCGAAGACAGTGAGGCTGTTGGTGGCGGAGGAGAGACGGAGTGAAGTTGGCTTGTTCACCGTACAGAAGGAGATTTTGGATGGTTTGCTGAAGGTACCTCGGGAATGGTTATTTTGTGTACAGGACTTCCAGACCCGGGGTATGTATGACATTACTTTTATGGATCAGAACTGCGTTACCACAGTAATGGAAAGGTTAAAAGAAAAAAATGGTGATGCTTTGTTGTCGGGTATGACTTTTTTGCCGTATGTACCTGTGTCCCGGGTGCCACTTGTGGTTCATATGTATAACCCATTTGTCAGTGATGATGAAATTTCGGTCTTTTTAAGCAGGTACTGTGTACAGGTCTCCAAACCTGTTAAGCTGGTTAACCAATTTGGCATTTACAATGGGAAAAGAAAATTTTTTGTTATTCTTCGCCCGGACGCATCAGAGGTGAGTGGTGTGAGACATCCCCCACAAAATTTCTCTCTGGGGGGAAATCGGGGATATTTATTCTACCCAGGTCAGCCAATGTACTGTAGGAACTGCTTTCAGTTTGGACATGTGAGTATGAATTGCAAAAAGGGCATGTGCTGCAGGAACTGCTTCGGGGAGGGGCATACGGCCTTTGAATGTTCAGAAAAACGCAAGTGTGATCTGTGTGGGTCTGTGGATCATATGGCCAAGTTCTGTCCAAGTTTGTTGGTAGGTACTACCCGGGCAGTGGATGCAGCAGACCCTGAACAGAAGGAAGCAGTCCTGAAGGAAGTAGGTAAGAAGGCGGTTCAAGCACCGAGGATAGCTTTTATCCCGACGTATGGCACGCAATTGCGTTCCCTAGCTGAGCATGAAGAACGTCATGCTCAAATTATGCGTGCAGATATGCAAAAGAAAGCGGAAAAAGACAAAGAAGAAGCCCTAAGTGCAGCAGAAATTATGGAGTGTGGTGAGTCAAGTTCTGCTGTGGTATTGGAAGACAGTTCAACTCTGGCTAGTGTTTCTAGTGACTTGGAAATAAAAGATGCTCCACAGTCAAAACGTATAAAGAGGACAAGTAAAGGTGTCCTGTCTAGAGAATACCCGAGGGTTTTGATGGAATCCTCTCCAGAGCCTGGAGAGAAGTCAGAATCAGAAACTTCGGGTCCTGTTTCTCCTGTTTTTGATGTGCAGGCTGTGTCAAGATTGTTTGATATTTCTGGTTTCTCTCGGGACCTTGAGGCAAATGAATCAGATGAAGGGACATGAAGTGATGAGGGTTAAATACCTCTGATTCATGTTCAAAGTTGTTTCTCTTAATGTAAGGAGTTTGAAATCAAATGTTAGGAGAGCAATGATTTTTGACTTCATTTGTAAAATTTCTTTTACCATCATATGTTTACAAGAATGTCATTTGCAAGAGGAGCCAATTGGTACAAAATGGGAGTTGGGACCGTCTTTTTATTCTTTTGGTGTTGGGAAAAATAGCGGAGTAGCTATATTGTTTAGGGGTTGGGAATTTGATATTTTGAAGGTGTTAGAAGTAGTATCGGGGAGAGTTTTACTGATTTATTTTTTGTTTAGAGGTACTTTATGTAGGATATTAAATGTTTATGCACCAGCGGATAAAAAAGAGAGAATGTATGTGTTTGAATGTTTGGGGATGTATTTACCAGGGAGGGATTTAACTATTTTGTGTGGGGATTTCAACTGTATAATAAGAAGGGAGGATAGGATGGGGGTTGGTGATGGGTATAGGTTAGATAGTACAAGTAGGATTTTGAACAATTTAGTTAAGGATTTTGGTTTAACGGATGCGGTGGA